TTTAGCCTCCCCAGGACCCCAGCCCTGCTCCCAGGCACAGCCAGCTGGGGCTGGCAGGCAGCTGCACTGGGAAATGTCACAGGGAATGAGTTCAGTGCCACAGGAAGCAGCTCCCACCTGCCCAGCCTGCTCTGGCAGCACTGGTGCCAGTGGCAGTGCTCAGACCCAGGCCTGGCAGTGAATCCAGAGGGCAGCTGGCACTGCAGCCACTTTTACAAAGCAGGATTTCATGGCTGTTTTCCCCTTCCCACCCCAAACACCAAGGCAGGGCTCTGGAAATTCTGTATCCCTGGGATTGTTTTCTGAGGTGAAGGAGATTTCCAAGGACATTTCCTTTCAAGCCTACAGGGCATGGGAGCAAAGAGGATCCCAGCATGAAAAGAGCCTGGATCTGGCAGGAAATGAAACTCCTGGAACTACAAACCCTGAAAACTTAGAAACCTGCTGCTCCTTCTGGAGCCAAACAATCCAAGGTTCTTTCCTCCTGACTGGTGTTCTCTGGGCACAAGAAATTCCTCTTTACAATGCACCCATCAAAGCTGAGCACAGCTTTGTCCTGGAATCGCTGCCCAGGACATGGAGCCTGGCACTGGGGTGGCTCCACCTGCCCAGCATTTGCCAGACTGGCACAGGAACCACTCTGCCAGCTGTGGCTGATGCTCAGGGAGCTCCAGAGCAGGACTGGCTTCCAGATGCCTCACTGCTCCACAGGAGGGACTAAAAATACTAAAATGTGTTTAGGAAAGAAGCAGAAGATCAGGGAGCAAAGTCCAGGGAGGCTCTGAGAGATGAGCAACAGCTCCAAGTGCTTTGGGAGCAGGGCTGGGGGTGTCAGAGCCCCCTGGGCAGGGCAGGGGCTGCCTCCAAGGGCCTGTGCTGACAGGGCCAGGCAGCTCAGGACCCTGCTGAGCCCCAGCAGCTGCACAGGGGGACAGCCCTGAGCCCTCCAGAGGACACAGGGACTGAGGAGGAAGCTGGAAGTGACAGGGAATGAATCCACCCAGGGGATGCTCCTTGGACTGGTTTCATGACTGACAGGAATAAGATTAATCTGGTGTTGGCACCAGATTATCAAACCAACCACTAAACAAGACAAACCCAGCTCCCTCTTGCAGTTTACCTCCAATTCCTCCAAATCCTTTCACAAATTGGGATCCTTCTTGTGATTTGTCTGTAACAATTTCCAATGTTGCTCCAAATTTCTTGTAGTTGTTTGCAAACCACTCCAGGAGGGGCATACTTTCTATGAGTTCATGTTCCTGCCCAGTCTGTGGAGACATTGGAAGGGAGAAATAAATAATAAAAACTTGTTACAGTCACTGGGTGTTCAGAACTGAGAAAATTCCCCCCCAGAGGTGGCTCCATGGCTTTGTCAGTCCTAGCAGGGCCAGCAGCCCTCATGCTCCAGAGGGACATTCCTGGGGGAAGGCACAACCACCAGCTCCTGGTGCTACCAAATTCATCCCTGACTGTGCTTTGGGCCTCTAATATAAAATTTAGTGCAGAAGCAGGAGAAAAACTGCTTTGATTCTTCTGTTACAGCTCAGTTTCACTGCTCATTGAGACCTGCTGTGCCCCCTGCACAGATTCCAGCCCCTCTCATCTAAGTGCAGTGATTATTGTGACATAGCAACACCTCACTGCAGGTAACACTGCAAACCCTGAGCACAGCAGGGACTGGCAGTCCTCCCTCCAGGGGGAGAACAGCTGGAAAAAGCCCCTGGCACAACCCAGGTGGGACAAATTCCCTCTCCTTTGGCAAGGAACACTTTATTCCCAGTTTATTCTGCAGAGTGACACAGAGCCCTGGTCCATGAGGGCAGTTTGACCTGCACAGGCAGGAAATGACAGTTCCACGTGTCAGACAGATCCCAAAGCAGAAACTCCCTTGGCACCTGAGCCAGGTCATGGTTCCTGACCTCACAGTGGCTCTGCACAACCAAATAAGGGCCCCACAAGCAGGAGGCAAAGCTCTGGGGCCTTGCCTGCAGGGTGGCCACCAAACCCTTGTAGGTGGTGGTCAAAGATCCCACACTGCCCATTTCCACAGCCTTGGCACTGGCAGCAGGGAAGAGTGCAGAAAAGCAGGTGAGGATCCACAGCCAGAGCCACAGGTCCCTGCCCTGAGGTGTCACTGAGAGCACAGGGACAAACTTAGCCCAGGTTCCAGAGCTCTGCACCCACACACTGAGAACAAACCCAGAGGCCCAAAGCTGAAATACCTCCTTGTCTGTGAAGTGGGATTTGTCCTTCTCTTGCTCTGGTGTCAAATACAGGATCTTCTCCTCTGAGAAGGGAGAAAAAAAATGATAATATTAGTTTGGGTAAGGCTGCAAGATGCAGTTTAAAGACAGCAGGAGACTGAGCACAGCCAGCAACCAAAACCAGAGGGTCTGGGCAGTGCCACTGCCTGCCTTCCTCTCTGAAGCTCTGTGAGCAACCCCACACAGAGCAGAGAGCAGCTGCAGAGCCAGCACACAGGGGCAGGTCCTGCTGCAGGCACAGGAATTGTGTTTGTGGCCACAAGGTCACCTCAGTCTCCCCTCTGGTCCCACACTCACAAAGCTGGAAGGAGGCTCCAGGCTGGGCCTGTGAGCAAGAGCCCCCCTGGCACTGCAATTCCCTGCTTCTTCCAGCCTTTCCCCCCCAGGGGCTGGGCAGCTGCACAGACCTGCACAACAAATCCTCTTCTCCAAGGAAATCTTGGATAAACCAGCAGGAGGAAGGGTTTTCTCCAAGGAAATCTTTTCCCAAACAAGTAGGGGGAGGGAATTGAATTTGCTTTCTAGAGGGACCCCTTTGAAAGTTTCCTCCCAAAATTTGCCCTAAACCAGGACACCTTGTGATGAAATGTGCTCAAGGAGCTCCTCCAGCAAACCCACCCCAGATATTAAACCCTGAGAGCCCCAGACCCCACGTACCCTCTGTGCCTTGGCAGTGCAGGACGTATCTCATGATATCCAGGTTCTCATAGACTATCAGGATCTCTACTGCTCCCATTTCCAGAGCTTTTAGTGTATCTTCCACACCAAAGCAGTACTTCCCTGTGTCCTGGCTGATCTCATCAAAGTATCGTCCTGCAGGGCACACAGAGCCTGCCATGAGCACTCAGCACAGCACACACTTCAAAAAAACTGCAGGGAACACAAGGAACTGCCACAGCAGGCTGCCAGCAAAGGAGGAACTAAAGGGAGCTCTGAGGAAGGATAAACAAGGTCCAGGAAATCTGGTGGGGAAAAAAA